GGCGCTTCTGCATCGACTACCATGCCCTCAACGCCAAGACATCCGATGAGCCTCTCGACGAGTTCCACGAACACTTCCCCGACTTCCAACTCGAGGACGAGTTGTTTGCGCAGGCGGGGAGAGATGTTATGACCAGCATCCCCTATGCCAGGCGTAGGCCCAATAGTGGCTAGGGGGCTGGTCTGTTAAGGGGCTTAGAGGCCCAATTTATCGCTTATTTGGTATTTTCTTAGAGATAGATATAGTTCCTTAATTATAGCATCTATAGGGAAGGATAAATACTTGTAATCATGGATGATTGGAATTAAGCAGAAAGCAACAATTAAGTTGCTGGCTTCCCTTGGGAGCCAGCCGTCCCTCTCTCTCCCTTGCGTGAACAGTACCCACATTACTGTAGCGCTACGTGAACTCTAGGGCTGCAGCAGCAGCAGCCGCCGCTCTCGCCGCCATGGCCCCTCGCCGTCGTCGAGAGTACAGACCACGTCCTCTCCTCTTCCACCCCTATAACCTGCGCAGCAACGCCGGTAGGGCATCAAGTCCTATCAATATGAGCTAACCTATGTGCCTCATTCTGTTCTAAATTTAAGGGAACTAACCCACTCTTGTGGAAGATAATTGTCATCCTCGAGATCTGCTCATACCACATTAACACACATTTTAGATTTGTTAGGACAGATTCCTCTTGCCTTAAAAAAAGAATAGTATCATCAACGTCATCAAAAACACACTATGCCTCCAGGCCTAAAATCCTCTAACAGACCTTTAACTAACCATTTATTAGTTGCTTTAACCAACATCTTAGAAAGACCATCACCTACTAAATTAAACAAGAAAGGGGATAAAGGATCCCCTTGTCTAAGTCCTTTACTGGTCTTAAAAAAAGCACCATCTTCCCCATTCAGCATTATGCCTATTGAACCACCTACCACAATCTGCTTAATCCAACTAATCAGCAAAGGGTTAAAATTTCTAGATTGAAGCATGTCAAAGAAAAAAGTCCAGCTAACTCTATCGTATGCTTTTTCATAATCAAGTTTAAGGACAACTCCTTGTTTCCCAGACTTGTTAATGCTATGAACAACCTCATGAGCAATAACAACGCTTTGCAAGATATATCTACCTTTAATAAAGGCAGACTGGGTAGGAGCAACAATTCTTTGGACTAAAGAGCTAAGCCTAAGAGTTAAGATTTTGGAAAAAAAATTAAAACTACAATTAAGAAGACTAATAGGCCTAAACTGTTTCATATTGGTGGCTTCCCCAACTTTTGGGATTAAGGTAACTAAAGCACAGTTAAGTCTATAAAGGTCTAGTTTTCCTTTATGAAAGTCTTCAAAGAGATCTACTAAATCTTTTTTAACTAAATCCCAAAATTTCTGGTAAAAAAAAGAAAAGGAGGCCATCAGGATCAGGGGCCCTTCTAAGTAACAACTAAAGATGGCCTCTTTAATCTCATCCTCTGAAAAAGGAGCTATTAAAGATCTATTCTCCTCAAGGGTAACTTTGTCTTGTTCATCCCAAAAGTTAGCACTAAGTTTAACATCATCTTCTTTAGCAAACAACTTTTTGTAGAAGTCTACTGCTATTTGCATCATTCCTTTTTGACCATACACTAAACCTGTTAGACCTTCAAGGCAATCTACTTTTTTCTTTCTACTCCTCTGGTTTGCTATAGCCTGGAAGTATGCAGTGTTCCTATCCCCTTTCATGAGATCCCTATCTCTAGACCTTTGTCTTGCTTTGATCTCTTCTAAATTCCAGATATGTTCTAGCTCCTTTTCTACAGCTCTGAACTCATTGAGTTCCTCGGAATTAAGATCTCTAGATTCAGTTAGCATTTCTAATTTATTGAACTTATCCACTAGCACAACCTTAGCTTTGTTCATAGCAGCAACGTCTTTGTCTGCCCAACCCCTCACCATCCTTCTAAGGTTTCTAATTTTAAACTGCCACCTATCCAAACTATTAGCTAGCTTACAAAAGGTGTGTTCCAAGCCTTTTCCACCATATTTTTAAAATAGTCCTTCTCCAACTACCATTTTTCAAATCTAAACCTCTTCTTCCTAAAACTGGCATTCTCCCCTGAGTTAATAATTAGGGGGTTGTGGTCACCGGGTAATCTCTCTAAAGCTTTCACACTAATACTACTGGAAACTCGAATATTTCTGTGAGTGATTATTTTTTCTGTGCGTTTTTCTCAGAACACACGGAAAATTTGTAATTTTTCTGTCGGTATAAAAAAATACCCACAGAAATATCGAAAAACCGACAGAATAATTGAGTTATTTTTCTGTGCGTGACAATACACACAGAAAAACAATACATACCCACAGAGAAATAACAATTATTCTGTGGGGTTTTTTAACTCACGAAAAAAAACGACACGAGCACAGGAATGGATTCGTCGCGCCCTATTTTCGTCATTGGCGCCTGCCTTCGTGCGGTATAGAATAGAAAAGAGAGTGAAAAAAAAAAAAACAACCTAAAAGTAAATCCTCCCGCGGCCGCCACCCCAACCCTATCCCAAACGCGCCGCCAGAGGCTCAACTCCGCAAGTCCGCCGCTCCCGTAGTCCCGTCGCTCCTGGCTCCAAGTCCGCCGCTCGCCGCACAAGACCACCCCCATCTGCACATTCGCCGCTCGCGGCCCGCCGCTAGGCACCCCAGCTCCATGGCCGCCGCTCATGCCCTAGGTCCGCTTGTCGCCTAGATCGCCTCCCGGCCCACCGACGGCGGTCAATAGCCACCAGCCAGCCGGCGGCGTAGCCCCTCCGGTGCGTGGCCATCCTCCTTCTCGACCACTCCGACGCCCCCAGCGCCTTCCAGCGAGCTCCACCGCATCACCGGCGGCGGCGGCGGCGAGAGCAGGAGGCCGAGTCCGTGGGTGGCGGAGAAGGAGGAGGTGAGCCGAGCCGAGCCGAGCCGTGTGTCAAGGCGATGGGGCAGCGATCGCTGAACTCTGCGTTAAGTGGCGCGGGCACCGTGGTCTGGGGCGAGTACACACCGAGTTCACCGGCAACTTCACCACCATCGCCGCCCGATGCCTGCGAAGCTCCCCGCCAAAGCAACAACAAGTTCACCTACAATCTGCGGCGGCCACACCTTCAACTACCTCGTCGAGGACGGATTCGATGAGTAGCTTGCTTTCCCTCCCCCTCCCGTCCGTCGCCGCCCCCGGTCCGCCCTGTTCCAGCGGATCTGCCGCCGCAGCTCGAATCGGGCTCGCCTCGCTTAGATCTCGCGGGGCTCGCCTCCATCCGCCCTTTGGTGGGGTGGGGTCTCGAGCTCGGTCGTCTCGAGGTGGTGTGGGGTTAGATTCGACGGATGCTTGAGGCTAATCTAAGTGGGCGGGTTGTTGCTTGGCGCTCATCAATCGGAGCTGCTGTTTGGACTCCACTTTGAGTTGAGATGAGATGAGATGAGATGTGCTTTGGGGAGGGTCGGGAGTTGCCAATTCTATTGGTGTTAGTTGATGCCGTGGCCATGTAGCTCAATTTTGCTTTCATTTGGTACAATTTTATCACATAAGAGGTTGTGGCATATTATAGTATTATGCGTGTCGATAATGAATGTTGTAATATCAAGTTCTTAGTGCCTGATATGAGTTAGGCATCCATTTCAATATATATTGTGTTGTTCTAGAGCAAATATACCAAGTTATTGTGCAAAAGAAGTATGCTGCAAGTACCAATGTATATGATTACATAATGGCGAGTTTGCATTGGCATTGTGACTTGTGAGTTAGCCAGTTAGTAGGTGCTAATCTTTAGAATACTTTGATTAGCAGTGTTTCATGTCACGTATTGGACAGCCCACAATATAGCTGCGCTAATATAGAAGATCCATTATTTCCTTTTCTTGAAGTCATCTTTGGTTGATCTGAAGCAAATATAACTATTTCTTTCTTAGTTATCTATCCCTTGAAAGTTCTTAGGTTAACATGAAACATCGGTTAATATGTTTGTGCTTTGATGCTTACTTTATCAATCAACCAATGCTCTAGAACATGTTGATGATAAATATTGTTTGCTTTTTTTACAGCGTATTGTGTAGTTGTTGTTGAATCGATTCTGGCGACAAATCCCCTTTGTTGCAGCGAACAGCTTGAACAGGGAGTTTGGGTGTGTGTTCCTTTGTTCTTTTTACACAACAGTCAATCAATCATTTGGATCCCTTGACTTTCTTGACTAACATCTATTTGTTTTTACCATTAATAAAGATCAAAGCTTAAAGAGCACATGCAGTATTATGTGGACCACCACGAGGAGGTCAACAAGCTTGCCAAGGTGAAGGCTCAAGTCTCGAAGTCAAAGGAGTTATGATGGAAAACATTGAGAAGGTACTATATTTAATCATCTGAAAAAATACACATCTCTACATTATAATGAAAAAGACGGCACACCTCAACAAACATTATTCCTAATTCCATATTACTATTTTGATGTTCAGGTTCTTAACCGTGGTGAGAAGATTGAGCTGCTTGTTGACAAAACTGAAAATCTGCGTTCTCGGTATTGGATTCCTTTATGATGTCTACATTAGCAATTTAATTTTGGCATGTGTGTAGATCCAAGAAAGCATAGATGATTATCTGATTATGACAGGCTTCAACTGATGTGTTACAAGTATCTATGGGACAATTTGACCACAGAGAAATTCCCAGCAGAGAATTTCTTCACTATTTTGACCTGGACCCCAACTACTTGTTATCGATGATGTCAAGGGGTACATTAGCTCATTGGGATTCGATGCAAAGGTGATATGTCTCACCTTTAAACTTTGTAGTTCTTCCTTCTAATAGTTCTCAGGCAATTTACTATGATTGACCAACCAGTTTATTCATGGGAAATCATTCTACTTCAACTATTCGTGGCGTGCATCATGGCAACCCGCAAATTGGGCAAATCCAAATGTGTTCATGGCTTCCATCACCGTCATCGCCTGCTGCTTTCGCGGATGATACTTGGAAGCAACAAGCCTCTTTGGCCCATGCACACGGCCATGCTGCTGGACATGCTCGCCCTCCTGGGAGCCTACTTCTCTTCCCTGTGCTGGACTGGTGCACGGGACTGGTGCACGTCCAAGGATGTCGCCCTGCTTCTCTTCCCTGTGCTGGGCTTCGTTTTGCTGCTCTTCTTCTGGAAGAAAGGACCACAACCTGCCAACACCTAACAGAATACTAACTCCTAGAATACTCACTTCCAGACCTGTGAATTCAGGCTTGCAATATCTTTACAGCTGTAGCTAATAAGATAACATTATTCTATCTGTTGACGTCGGCCAACACCAAAAATTATTTACTTAGAATGCATGATGTTTGTGCTACTACTAATTGTGTTCAACGCCTATGTATTGTCATTTCCCAGTTTCATTCTTGCTTATGATATATGATTATGTAAAGCTGTTTCAACTTTGGCTCCTTATTGTACTCATTCTTCTATTTATAGGTTGCGATCGTTGCTTTTTTGCTCTCTGTTTCATCATCTGCTCATGGGCCACAAATTCCATATTTTTCCAAGGAGAATGTTGCACTTTCAGTCAGAATGGTTGTCGATGGATTTGTGGACACAATGTATATCCTCATTCATTTGCCCTATGCGTTCTAATGCTTACATTATAATGCAATTGTTATTCCAGTATCATGACTGAGTTTTGACGTTTCAGGGATGATAATTTGGCTGATACAGTTGTTATTGATAAAATTAATATATTCCGTGCTGACAGAGTATTTAAGGTATTCTGTTTGTCTCATGATTGTCTTTTTTATGAATTCAAAATCTGCAAAGGATAATGGATTTGTCTAGCCCCCATGTTTTCTTTGAGGTCACTGTCTACTTGTCTAGTCCCTAGCTGCTGCGATGCCTTTATCTTTGTTGGTATGGATCAGGGTTCCAAATACCAGCAGTTCTGGAGAATGCAGTTATTGAGTTGTGAAAGTGGTAACATATGATAATACTATTAATACCGGGTTTCAGATCCCAGCTTGCAAGAAGAAAAAAAACCGTGCTGTGCTTCACCCAAAAAATAGTGGCAGCGTGTGGACCTGTGGCAACCTTGCTGCTGTTCCTGGGCGTAGTGGCCCCAAAAACCGTGCTGTTCCTGGGCAGTAGCCACAAAGCACAGAAACGTATGGTATGTATGTGACATGTGTGCTGAAAATTTCTTCTTGTTGCTGCTGGGTCTGATTAACTTGTTACATGCATAATAAAATGGACATTTTGTAGCCAATCAGTAGGCACAAAGCACAGAAAAGCACAGAAACTGGGTCTGATTGAAACTTGTTGCTGCTGGGTCTGGTCAAACTGGGTTTCTAACAGTGCAAACTGAGTTCTAACTGGTTCAAGGTCTGGTTGGAACCTGTTGCAACTAGGTCTAGTTTTAATTCTGACTTGTACAAATTTTTGTGCTTGCAAAACCCCATCATTTGCGGATCAGTTAATAGAAGCTGACAATGGTCTTGGCGAAGTAATGAAACCACCTGAGAAATCTTTCTGGGCTAAATATGTGAGTAACTGCACTAAATATCTTCTGTACTTTGTTCAATATCTTCGTGTTTGTGTGTGTGTACATGTTCCTTCAGTCTGACTTGTTTGTTTTGCAGTGGATGTACATCATTCCGCTTGGTCTTATTGTCATGAATGCTGTTACGACAGTGGCCAAGAGGAAGCTACAGGGCAGGGCCAACCTGGAGCAGAACGGGCACCTGCTGCTGCTGCCGGGAGGAGAAGATGATGGCTGCCTCTATGTTTTCCCATACCGTAGGTATTATCATCCGTTTAATTATCGTCACATTGTTTTCTGTTTTTTTTTGGTATGGTGTCAATATTACCTTGACTGCATCATCTGTGGTACTGCATGATGATGCCATCTTTTGCTTGTGTTGAAACATGTAGCGTATGCGTATCCAAGATGAATTGATGTGGTTCCTATACATCTATAGCCATTTTTGGTCACTAGTTTGTCATTGGAGACCATAAACTTTAGGACCTGAAGCCTACCCACACATCATTTGCAGTGATGACTTCATACTTGATGCTGTAACAAAAACGTACTAATTTCAGCTGTTGAATTTCCTGCTGATAATTCATGCTTTCATTCCTTGTTCATGCTGAGAATTTATTCTTTGTTTTAGTAAATAAATTATTAGTTTTTGGAATGATGAGCTTGCTTCTAGCTTCTATCTAATTTGAAGCCTTGTGACTTTCAGATTCATGGGTAATGGTAGGAGATTGAACCTGTCTACCTGGACAGAAGAACTGGAGCTGTACTTACACGAACTCATATAATAGTGTGCGCTGATGGGCTTTCTTTCTTTTCCCTGGCTGTATTGAGCTACTCTGTTATAGCAGAATCACCTTCAATGGTGTGTTTAAACACATTTGTTGTTGAGAAACCGCGATCAATCTTTAACACAGTTCGATTATATGTTTTGATATTAAGTAGTTTGATATATGAAATTTGAATGCTGGATGCATTGTTAGACCACCCTTATTTTGTGCGTTAACCGAGACCGATAGAAAAATAAAAATTTTCCTGTGAGTGTGCCTCTATGACTCTATCAGGACAACGTCGACAGAAAAATAAAAAATTTTCTGTTGGGCTTTTTCTTTTTTCTGTGGGGATTAATGCACACATTTAAATTTAATCTGGGCTAAGGTAATTTTTCTGTGCGTGTAACACCCACAGAAAAATCATTTTCCTGTCGGGCTATTCTTTTTTTCTGTGAGGATTAACGCACACAACATTGAAATTTAATTTGGGCTAACGCAATTTTTCTGTGCGTGTAACACCCACAGAAAAATTATTTCTGACGGCGAACACACAGAACAATTGAATTTTTCTGTCGTTATATTTCCGTGGGTATTTTTCTGACGGTATTCGTATTTTTCTGTGTGTTTTCGCACACACAGAAAAAAAAAAGCGAGATTCTAGTAGTGTAACTAATGGAAAAAGCAGCTTCCCAAGCTGTTGTGACAAAAATCCTATCTATTTTAGCCAAAACCGGGAAATCCTGGTTGTTGGTCTAGGTATATTTCTTATTACTAGCACTCAATCAAAACCCATTTATCTACCCACTCAATAAAACTATCAGCCCATCTGTGATTGATGATCCTATTATTTTTATCACTCAGAAATCTGACTAGGTTAAAATATCCTCCAGTAAGAATTGGACCTTGCCAACTATTCATCACTAAATCTAACTCATCTAAAAAGGTTTGCCTCTGTTCATCATAGGCAGGACCATACACCACTATTAACTTCCAGGAGAACCCAGTTTTCTTACATGTCATCATTACACTAACAGAGTAGTTCAACATCTCTGTATTTGCACCCACCAGGATTCCTCCTACTGAGCCATGTGCTTCTAAATGAAATCAATCAAAAGGGATATTATGTGCTAGGGATTTTAGAGTGAAATACACTGGCGGTCCTTTAACTTGTTGGCCTGTGTCAATTCGGTCCACGAACTTACAAACGCGGAAAATAGACCCCTGAACTTGTCAAGTTGTTCACCGCAGGTTCATTTCCCATCCGGCACGGCCTCCAGGCGACGTGGCAGTGCCAGCATGGCGGACCGAACCACGTGAGCCGCCGCGTTTCAACGGGTTCGCACGCTTGCTTGCTGGTCGCGCGCAACACCCGCTTCGGCCGCGCCGGTCGCCCGCCGCCGCGCCGCGGCGCCGTCGCGTCACTTCGGCGCGCTTGCACCGCGCCCGCTGCTCCGTGTGCTCGCTGCCGCATCCGCTTGCCGGAGCCGCCGCGCCGCTTGCCGGGCTGCCACGCTTCGCCCGCCCGGCACCGTATGCGCTCTCCGCAGACGGTGCTTGCCCATCGACGCTGGCTCTCCAGCGCGCTCGCGTGCTTGCTGCTGCGCGCTTGCCGAGCCGCCGCGCCCGCGCCTGCAGTGCCGCCACGCTTCGCCGCCCGGTCTGCTGCCACGCTACCGCCGGCACCATGTAGGGCTCCTCCGCTGCACGGCGCTTCGCCGGCTGGCGCTAGCTCCAGCTGCTCGCGTGCTTGCTGCCGCGCGCTTGCCGCCGCCGCGCTCGCCCGCAGAGTGCGCCATGCTTTCGCCACGCCCGGTGCTGCCACGCTCGCTTGCCGGCACCGTGTGAGTTCCTCCGCGACACAACGCTCGCCGGCTGGGCGCTGGCTCCACGCGCTCGCGTGCTTGCTGCCGCATGCGCTTGCCAGAGCCACCGCGCTGGCCCGCAGCAAGCACGCGGCAGCAAGCACTGGTTGATGAACAACTTTGTTTAAGGGATCTCACCGTGTTTAGTAGAGAAATCGGGAGATAGAGAGAGTAGAAGAGGCGTTGTCTGCCTGCTACAGTTACCACCGAGCAGCTTGCCGACGGCCGCCGCCTCCGTTTGCTGCCTTAACATGCGCGGGCACGCACCTGCTTGCATGTCGAGCTCGAGCTCGAGCTGGCACAGCTGGAGAAATCGTCCTTGCCTTCTTTTACGTGACGCCGGCGACCTCTCCTCTTTCTCCTCTCACAACGTCGCTGCCGACCGAGCTCCAGTCGCCGGCAAAATTCAACACCACCATAGCACCCCCGCCCAATAGCTCACGCCCATGACTTCGCCTGCTCCTCGCGCACCTCATTGACCTGCTCGCGTCGCTCCTCGCAGACTAATTCGGCAGCGCGTGCCATTTTCGTGGCGGCCGAGCCGCCATGGCCGCCGTGGCCAGCTCGTCTCACTGCATCTCCTTCCCTCTTAGTTTTTATTTTGGCTTCCTTGCTAGGTGGTTATGCTCATCAGCCTGTCCGTTTCCTTGTTCCCCCATAGGACACGCCGGAATGCGTCGTCACCGCCGGTTCTTGCTGCCGTTCTCGGCGCCGACGCCGGCAGGCACGTCTGCTCCGCCCCCGTTTCAACCAAGAAGCGCCCTGACGCCATGGTGAGCTCCTGGTGCCACTTGAGTCCTTAGTCGAACCCCTACCACGCTGTAGTCGCCGGTCTGTCGTCGCGCCGCCGCGCGGAGCGCTGCTAAGCTTTGGGCAAGCGTGGCGGCACCTGTGGGACAGCGCGGCGGCTCCGGCAAGCACACGCAGCAGCAAGCACGTGAACGCTGCGAGCTGCGCCCAGCGCGGCGGCCAGCGCCAGTGCAGCGGAGGAGCGCACACGCCGCCGGGCGGCGAAGCGTGCCCAACCCGGCGGAGCGGCGGCGCGCTCGGCAGAAGCGCATGCGGCAGCGAGCACGCGGAACCAGCGGGCGAGCACGGTGCCGCGGCCGAGCGCACGCGGTGCCGGTAGGCGAGCGGCGTGGCACGACCGGCGCGGCCGAGCGGGTGTTGCGCGACCGGCAAGCGAGCGTGGCAGGCCCGTTGAAACGTGCGGCTCACGTGCTTCGTCCGCCACGCTGGCACTGCCACGTTGCCTGGAGGCCGCACCGGATGGGAAATGGACCTACGGTGAACAACTTGACAAGTTCAGGGGTCTATTTTCCGCGTTTGTAAGTTCGTGGACCAGATTGGCACATGCCGACAAGTTAAAGGGGCGCCAATGTATTTCACTCGGGATTTTAAAAGCCCAGAAGACAAATTGTTCTTCTTGGTTTCCATAATGCCAACAAAATCAAGATGATTATATCTAATTCTACTCCTTAAAGCAGGTAATCTATCAATTTTCCCTAAGCCTCTAATGTTCCAAAACATACCTATCATTTTCCTTTTTTCTTGTTTTTCTTCCTATTTTCTACTTTAGACCATCCCATTTCCTGATCAGTTTTCTGAATGTCAGGGTTTCCATCCTGACAGCAATACTAAGATTTTATCACGAATTTGCTGCGAATTTCTGTTTTTCGTCCCTCCAGTAGCTCGCCTGTTAGGTGACACTTGCCTAAACTATCGCCCCACAAAGAACACCCGTAGTCTCAAAAGGCTAATGCATCGCGAGAGAGAGAGAGAGAGAGAGAGAGAGAGAGAGAGAGAGAGAGAGAGTCAAAGCTTACCGTGGATGCAGTTCACTTGAAGGAAACAAAAACGCACTCAAAGGCGAGCGAGCTTCCCGTCGATGCACGTTATATAGTCGAATGCACATGGATGATCCTGCGCCACTGCAGCACCGCGCTGATGAAACCGTCGTCGATGCGTTTTGCGAGGCGATCGAGAGGTGCTTACTATAAATGTAGCACTGTCAACGTGCTAGGCTAGCACGCAGTTGCGCCCATCTATATCGATCTACTAGTCATCGTCTCCGACTCTTCCGTATCCTCGTCGGCCATCCACGTCCATCTCCATCTTCGTCTGGATTTGGATCTCGGTGGCGATGTCTGAACACCGATTGAGAACGCATATGGGCACCCTGAGCAAGCGGAACGGGCCCGGGCATCTGGGTTGTTTCTTGCTCGGGGCTCTCCTGCCCACTGCCTTCCTGCTCTTCGTGGACTCCGACAGGGCTGGAGCGCTCTTGTCGAGCATGTCGAGCTTGGGGTTGGGGAATGGGCTGCGTAGCAACCTCACAAGCCACGGCGGTTCAGCGCCTGCCGGTGCCGGAGAAGACGACCAGGTAGTTTGTAGGCTTCAGTGCTCACAACAGACACGACAGGTCACCTTACCTCCGCTTCCTCTCTCTTCTTTTCTCTCCTCCACCTCAGCCTACAGTCCACTCACAACCTTTTACTATACTTGCTCTTATATGCATGCATCGGCCAAAACTCTTCTCCCAAACTGCATGGTTGTACGTGTACCAGCCAATCTAACCGAGACTTTAATTGACGATCATGCACAGGTCATGTTCAAGGGCCTAGCCGAGCTGCTACCGAGGGTTGCCATGGACGACAGGACGGTGATCATCACGTCTGTGAACGAGGCATGGGCGCAGCCGGGCTCCCTGCTGGACCTCTACCTCGACAGCTTCAAGAACGGCGAGGACACCGCGCACCTCCTCAACCACCTCGTCGTGGTCGCCCTCGACGCCCGCGGGTTCGACCGCTGCAAGGCCGTGCACCCTCACTGCTACCACCTCAACGCCACGTCCGTGGACATGAGCTCCGCCAAGCGGTTCATGAGCCCGGACTACCTGGAGCTCGTCTGGACCAAGCTCGTCTTCCAGCAGCGCGTGCTGGAGCTCGGCTACAACTTCCTCTTCACGGCAAGATCATTCTTCACCAAGACTCGCAATTTCTTCGATAATTATCTTTAACCAACAATCTTATTTATGACTGATAAAGTGCTACCACACTGACTGGTCTGCAGGACTGCGACATGGTATGGTTTCGCAACCCGTTCCGGCACTTCCCCGTGTACGCCGACATGAGCTGCTCGTCGGACGACTTC